CTTTCCTGCTAGCCTCAGGGGCTTGGGATACCTCAGTCTTTTGCATCTCTCTTTTCAGCAGGCCCACATTTTCCCTAACCTTCCTTTTGCTGTGGAGATACCTGTAAAAGCCCTTCCTGTTGCCCTTCTGACTATACATAAGACAAGGCCTTGTCCCCATGAGAACCATCAAGCATTGAAACAGATTGCCTGCAGAGGTAGTAGTCTCCATCCTTGGAGGTTTTCAAGATCACACTGGGTAAACAACTGAGCAACCTGGTCTGACCTTTTAACTGATGCCACTTTGAGCAGAAGGTTGAACTTGAACTAGGAGACCTCCAGAAGTTGCTTGCAACCTGAATTAATGAATGATCCTATGACTGTAACAATTGTATATACCTTCTGTATTGATTTGTTCAAAGAACAGTAATGAGGCATATACTTTTATCATTTATCTATAGTAATAAATATTACAGTAGTAGAATTGTCAAACTTTCTAATGTACCTATTTTAGGCAATTGTCCTGTCAAAAAGGATCCATCTGGGCAAGAATTTAAATCAGATAACAGTCAGGATGGCCTATCCAAGGTTTGTAATCCAATTTTAGCTTCTACTGTGTAAAGATGCATTAGTTAAAATGATTAAATTACTTAAATGGTGACACCCTTTCATCATTCTGAATTAATTTATTGACCTCACTGAAGCATTTTCTGTATGAAATATGAAAGGGGTTATTATGAAAATCTATTGCTGTATATGTTGGTTAGAGTTGTACATATTGTTAAAGTTCTATATCTTCTTGTTAAATCTCACATTTACGTGAGTTACGGTACTTTCTATGTCATTTCTAAGTTAGCAAAAATGTATTCCTGATCCTGCTGCTAAGCAGATCATTCATCCCATGACAAGGTTTCTTTTATTTATGTTCAATGTTCAAAAATACTTAATTCTACAATGATCTCTTTGACTTTATTGCTCACTGGAAAATACTTTGAAAGCTAAGATATAAAAGAATCCCTGTAGAACTAATGAAGTTAAATGCTACTGTAGTGGATTTATGGTAGTGAAAATCAGAATAACCTTAGAACCAGGACACTTGATGTTTTATTTCTTGGCCTTCATATCCTTTGTTTCTCAACCTTGTTTCTGTCTGGCATTTTCATGGGTGTAATGATGGAAATCAATTGGAGATTTCAATTAAATTAGGCCTCTTTTACATCAGCTGAAACTATTTTACATCAGTTGAAATGATATTATAGGTAACAATATATAGTAAATATAAATAAACAACACAATAAATATTGAATTTAAAGAAATAAATAATATATAATTTGTAATATATAAAGTAGAATCATACTGTTTTTAACAGTGAGTGTTGTGAACATTCTGAGCATATTAGTCTTACGCTGCACTCTCCCACAGCTATCTGTACGTGCCCAGCTTGGCGCCGCGTCACAGAAATTGTTGAAGAAAGGAAGAAGTATTCCTGATGAATTACTAATTGACATCCTATTGGAAGCCATTAAGTATGAAATTGTATAGCTTTTTTCCCTCAGTTATTTAGAATGTAATAATCCAGCTTGTAGTCCAGATTCAGCCATTTCTCTTTATTAAGGTATTTTTTGAACAGTGGAGTCGTCTTCTTGGAAAGTGGAGCTAATTAGTGAAGGTAGTTAATGCTCATTTTATGCTAGCAGTAGAATGCTAGCAGTAGATTCTAGCCCTAAATTATACAGACATTATTGTACACTGCTGAAGGTAAGTAAAAATATATGACTATCACATAGTCATTAAATATAACTAATGTCTCTATTTTGTTTATTAGTTGGAAGCTATTCAGCATGTGCCAGTATTTTTTCTTTTAGATTTTGTGAAATGTATAATCCAAGCATTCATACTTCAGCAGTTAGGTTACTAGTTATTTTTGTGTACTCTTCTTTGACAGAAAATTATCCAACTACCCTGAGATGTGCAATTAGCACTTAAATTCCCACATGAATATCATTTAAGTTATATGACTCCCATTATTATATTTTAAAGTTACGAAACAGATTTTGCGATTTGTTACTTCAGTGCAAAAGTTAGTAGAGAAAATAGTGAAATTACACCTCTGATCATGGTCTGTATACAGAGTGTTTTTGAAAACTATGTATCAAAATTACAAAATTTGTTTTGTTTTTGCTTTTTTTCACTTTTAGTTAGGCTTGATGTTATTTTTCAATTTAAAATCCATTACTTTACAGTTTAAGTTTTAATTTATGTCTGTCATATTCTGTATTCATCAGGATATTTACTATACTGAATTCCGAATGAAAGACTGTTAGGGCAAGCTCTTCTTTAGGTGTTATGATTATGCTATCAATTCACGGTATAATTCTGGTTCTTCATTTACTTTTAGCCAAACACCACCAGAGAAGGGATGGATTGTGGATGGGTTTCCAATGACAATTAATCAGGCAAAGTTATTTGAAAAAGCCTATACGGGCATTGATCCAGAAGCAAAAGACACAAATTCTGGAAAGCTCTCACTTGTTACAGATCCCAGAGCTCCTAACAAGTCTCCTGTTATTTCACCTGCATTTGATGTTTCTGTATTATTGGATATTTCAGACACTGTGGTACTGAAACGTGTGGCTAACCTGAAGCGTAAGTTTCCAACTACTTTTAGCAAAGTAAAATGACAAGCATGTTGTGATGTAAGGGGAATGTAAAGATTGTTATAATACTGAAATGACTAAATTGTGAGTACTTTGCAACATAATAGCAAACTGCATATTTTAATTAAAAATACTAAATTATATAATATCCATATTTTTCTCTGACAATTATGAAATTAGAAATTGTTTAGATTTCTTGACACCTTTCTTCTCCATTTGTAAGGCCCCTTTTAACTTTAGCTGTTTAAAAGTACATGACTAGAGATAAAGTAATGCATTAATCCCAAACATTATTTACCAGATATACCTGTAAATTTTACTTATTGGAGCAAAATAGCATTGCTGCACAATTTCTCTACATCTCACAGTATCACTTCATTAATTGTGCATGATCACCTGAATGCTTCCAGATCATTTCAAATACTTTTATTTGTTTCAGTCAAAGGCAGATCAGAAGTGTGCAAGTGCATGTGTATATGCTTATTTGTATTTGTACTGAATTCTTACTGGAGCTGAGATAGCACAGTAGCTGGTGTTAGATATCACATAAAACAGTGTCTGGAAAAAACACAAGTTACAACAGATGCAGAAATATGCCTCATTACAAATGAATATGTGTAAATAGTATTTTTCTCCAGGAGGCACATTTGGAAAGTGATGAAGGAAATGATAAACAAAGGAGTGTGCCAACATTCAATCCCTGGAAGTGCCAACATTTATTCCCTATTAATTACTGCCTTTGTCGTGTCTTCAGTTAGTCAGTGAACAATCAGAAATTGTCAATTTTGGCCCACAAAGGCAAAGGCATCACAGGCTTTTTGAAGGCTGTTTCACTTCCAGAACAAACATTTTTAATTGCCCTTACTCACCTTGGCGAAACATAAGTTCTTTTCATGAATATGTCCCATATTGTCGAAATTATGAGGAGATTCCTCTTCATTGTTTTCACTGCAGCATTTACATGGCACATGGCTTGAATTAAAGCAGTATTTACCTTTAACTTTTATGTATAGGTAGGAGTGAGGATGAGGCAAAATCATTAGAGCTTCTGGTAACAATGCGGTGAAGATAAATGTATAGACACTTGAAATTCTTGTTAATTTAAAGACCTTGTTTTGCCGAAACACTTTGAAAATGTGATAATGCATGCTATAATCTCAGAAATCCAAACTGAATTTATTTCCTAAGATGTAATGTGGTGATAGAAAGAGTCTAAAGAACAATAAAAAAATTGGAAATCTATAAAAAATGGCTTATTTCTAATCAATTAAAGGTTTTTTAAAATTTAGAGAAGACTCAAAGAGAGAGAATTTGTCTTCCAATGCAGTGGAATATCTGCCCATTGTTGTGAAAAGGAGTAGTTACTTCAAGGAAGATTCAGATGAGACTGGGAAAATACCTTCTAACTGTTTGAATAGATAAGCCTGAAAATAGTCCACCCACAGGAATGCTCCCTCTCTACAACTGGAGATTTCTATGACTGCAAAGCATCCATCAGGAAATGCTAGTGCTATAATTGGCTATTCATTTAAACAGAGGAAGAGGCAAGACACTGTCTTCAGGTCCTTTCCAGCTTAATTTTATGTTTCTATGATTTTCTCTGACTTTTCTTTTCTTTTAGGAAGTTTGGTACCCAATTTTTAAATGAAGAAATGTAAGATCAGGGGACACTGAAATTTTTCTTTTAATGATTATCTTACTTCGGGCGAACAACTACCTGCATAATTGCCTTTTTCAATATATGCTTATATATGCTGTTTTCCACACAGCAGATAAATTAAAGTCATCTCAAACTGAACAGGAGAACAACAATCAAAATTCAGATGCTGATACCCTAGAAGAGAAGATTGACTTAGCCAGGGACCAGGTGCTACATAGGTATGTTATATGAAGTACAAAAAAGTTGCTTCAGCCAGATATTTATGCATGTAATTAATCTAAATCTCATACGTGATCCATGATAGTACTGACATGCCTAATGTTAAGAGTTTACTTAGGAGTTTCTCTAATGTGGAGCCTAAAGAGTACTTTCATTTTCGGCACAATATAAATAATCCTAGGAGATAAGAATTCATGTGTTTTGCTTTTCCAAGGTATTTTTCCAAGGAGGATTTCTTTTTCAGATATATATTGCATGAACCATACATATACATACACGTATATATATGTACCTATGCATATATATATATGAGCTATGTCATACATCATGTGACTGCCCTTGAGTGAAATGCACTTGATTTGAATTACAAATTTTCTAAATGGTATCTTCCACTTTTACATTTATAAAAAAGAATTAGTTTTGTATTTTTTATTGAATCATTAGATGTTTAACTTTACATAAAGTTTACATAAAGTTTACATGAAGTTTACATAAAGAGCAAAACCAAGAACAACAAGTTTTGTTTCTAAATATTTGAAACTATTAACTATTTCAGACTACTAGATTATTGATTATTATTGTTTTAGTTGTGATATAAGAAAGTATGTTTAGCTTGTGACAAGAAAGACTATAAGACTATAGTCTTATATAAGACTATATAAGACTAGTTAACAGTAGGATTGTATAAGACTATATATAAGACTAGTTAACAGTAGGATTTTGAAAATTTTCCTATGTTGAAAATGAAGGCATTGATGTGGATAGAGTATTATTTTGCAAAAAATATTGCCTGGATTTGTTTTAGTATTAAATTGGATGGTCTGCTTTTTCTTTTGTTTATTAATGTGGGAAAATGTTTTATTTTCCATTAATTAGGTTTTAATTTTATACATGAATATGATTTTTATAGAATTTCAGGCTTTTTAGACACGTGGCCAAAATTAGAGAAATGGTTTTCAGTCCATCAAAATATTCTAGTCAAAGTCAATGCAGAGACAGAAGAAAGTCTCCTGTGCGAAACAGTGAAGGAAATCATAATGGAAGAAATTGCAAAAAACCAGAATAGAAGTAAGTTTTCCTGATCTTACTTTTTACAATTCAGTAAGAAAAGACTTTGTTCTTTATAATTAACACTGATAATTAATATATAAAACTATATGGAAATATACATTTTCACTGGCACTGCAGGACTTCGGGGATGTGTAAGTTAGTGATAACTGTACCAGAACTCTGAACTTTTCTGTTGTGTTTTTACCTTTTCAGAGGGTATGGACCAATTTCACATAGTTGTAAAGATCACTTGAGAAAAAGTTTTAAAATATTTTTTAAAAAATGTCAATTGGATTTATTTAAATTCCACGAAGTGGAAGTGATTACTAAATTCAGTCCTTTCTTCCTGGTTTAAATATTACAGCTAGCATCTTCACTATATGGGAGAGCATAATGGTATAAGAAAGACTAACTTGCCATTAACATATATACATTTATCGGCAGCAGCTTAAAAACATGGATAACTTGGAGTGGTTTTGACATGAGTTTTGGTGCATCTTTATTCCATTTTTCGTCTTAATTACCCAAAAGAAAAGAATCATTTAAAAATAAAAAAGGAAAAAAGATTAAATATGCAGGGGAAAAGACGCATCAAGTAAACCAGGATTAGTAGACTTTTGAGTAATCAGATTTTTTCTTCATAATTATTGCAAGAAAGTCTTGATGTGTCTTCTACCACCAAAAAAAAAAATTAGCTTGAAAAGGACTCTTAACAGTAAAAGTTTAGACCACTACTCCTGCACAAGGTTTCCAGTTCATGAAAAATTCTTGGAAATATCACACCTGACAGAAAACTAGAGTTGTTTTTTTTATGTGCTATTAATTGTATGTTCATATACAAGGGTCTGCTCAAGAAATATCACCAGGAAAAAAGCTTTTATCAAGTACAAGTCAAGATCTGCTTCCTCCCATCCCTGTGGCACTACCACCAACTGAACCAGGATCAGATGAATGGATTTATGTAGATGAGCCACTTCCCAAGGTACATTCATTCATGATTAAAAGTCTTAGATATCAAAGTATAGCTTTTTCTCAGTATTTTATGCATATTCTACCTAAACCTTTTGTCTCATTGTGTGTTGTTTTCTTCAATATTTTTCAATGAAAGATACACTAGTACTGTATTATAAATATCTAAAAATACAAATAACAGTTGCTACTAAAATACATAACATAAGGAAACACACTTTAAAATTTTGATCATTTTTTTTTTCTAAATTCTTCACAATGATGATGAAGAATAGTACATGGATGCCAAAATAATAATAATAATTTTTAGTATTATGAAATACTAGCATAGACTTAGTAGGTCAGTTTCCTGTCTCTGACAAGGGCCAATTGTAGAAAGAATGTAAGAATGGGGAGAGTGTGCACTGATCTTTCTCCTAGGATACTTTTTTCTAACATGTTTTCCCTGAGGACATCTTCCTAGTTTCTAATGGTCTGAAATTTTGGGGTTTCCTGAGATGACTTTGTATCTGCATCTTTGTGTTTACTAACTCTCAATAGACTTTTCTTCCATGATTATGTCTAGTTGCTTTTTTTGAAGCAATTTACTTTTTGGTCTCCATGATATAGCCTATATAATTATGCTCATTCTGAAAAAATATTTCTGTCTCTTTGCTTTAAACCTGTTGTTTGCTTGGGTCATTCTATGACCCTACTTCTTGTATTGTGAGATACAATGAATAATAATTCTATAATCACCTTCTGAAGTAATTTAAGATGTGACAGGCATCTATTACATCTTTATTTTGCTCAGTGTTGCTTTGCTTCTCCAATCCAGTCATAATCTGTTTAACTCTCCTTATGTGGAGCAGTTCATATGTTCAGTCATGATTCTTGCCCATCTGTCTGTCTGTTCTAGTTCTACTGTAGATTTTTGTAAATGGGGAGCTGGGACTGCATGCCGTATTTGAGATGTAGATTTGAAGGGTCCATAATGATGCTTTGTATTTTGTTCTGTAATTCCTTTCCTAATATTTGCCAGTTTTGCCTTCATGACTGCAATTAGCTCGCAGATGCTGAGTTTCCTCTATCCATGGGCTTTATTTTGCATTTCCTGACAGTCAGTCAGTCAAATGTCACTTTTGCAACACTACACAGTCAGCTTAGATTTTTACCAGCTTCAACAGTTGTGTACCACCACGTTTTGATACTTAAGTACTCGCTTAGTATCTTCACTTAATTTATGAGTATATCCAAAACCACAGATACTGGAGTGTTCTGCTGGGAGTTCCCATTCATTTTGAGTGCTGCCACTTTTTTTCCAAAGAAATGCACAGGATAAACTATATGTTGGTACAGTGTCTATAATCAGTTGTAAATAGTTGTAAATCAAAAGAAATACATAGTGAAAAAAAAATCAGTAGTATGATTTCATGAAATAATCTTTCTTGTATTTGCTGATGCTACAGCTAAATGGGTTACCAAGAAATATATCAATTAACTTTGATGTTTTTAAAAAATCCACAGGAGATACCTGATTTTCTAGTTCCTTACTGGGAAATGGTAGAAGATGCATATATGAATACCATCAAAAATATACTTAGATGTCTAAGGGAAGAACAGCACTCTTTGATTTATTACTTAGCAGATGCTAGGTGAGTAGAAATAGTAGCTTATTACATTAATATTAGTATTTTGTATTTTGCCTGTGGCATTCTGTATATCTTTTAATACCAAAATTATTTTTACCATAATTTACAGAATAAAATTCCAAGGTTATTTGAAGCATCCAGATCTTAAGCAGGAGTTTGTATCTCAGTGGCAATCAGATTTTAATTCAATTGCTGATGACCTGCGAGAAGATGAGGAAACAAAAGCAGAACTGCACCAAAGAGTTACTGTAAGTAAATGGCAAAACTTATAATATACCCTAAAGTATTATTTCATCATATACAAGCTCGATGTAACATGAATGATATTATTATTTACATTTTTTTCCTTTTTACCACTGCTCTTAAACTATTTCACTTCCTTTTGTACATAAAGTGTTCTTCACAATTATTTCTCTGGGTTTTGGCCATATCTTTCTTTTGTCTTACTTCTTTTTTTAGGTTATACTGTGGTATTCTGGCACATTGTAAAATAAATATTTCTTTGCTTTCTTTTTCTTTATGTTTTATGGTTTTCAGAGATTTTACTTACAAATTTGGACATTTCTATCACTTTCTAACAAATCTTGGCAGTTATTTAATTTTTACATAAATAATACATGGTAATACATGTTTTCTAAAACTGATTCATACAAAGTACAGAGAATTTCTTTGAAATGTTTTGACTCAGGTAGATCTTTGCTAGGTCTTACATGTCTTTTTGTTCTTCACAAAAATCCATAAGAGTAAAGGTCCAAACAAGTTCAGAGCCAGATTTAACATAGGCAGGAAGTAGAGCTATCTTTGAATTTATCAGATTCGCATTTCAGAACAGACATGATTTTTAGTTGAAATCATATCAGGAAATGCTCCCAGAAAAGGGGAAAAATAATGCTGGCAACATTGTTAGTTGAAGGGAACATTGGTGAAGTCATGGATGAATTCACTGAGATGGAAAAAGCATCTGTAGCATTATTTAGAATTATAGAATGAAGTAGAGGACTTAAAAATCATCATCCATATTCCTAATTTCTACTAAATGGAATTATAAAAAGACTGGAATCCATCTGTCCTATGTTTTAGAAAGCTAAAATTTAAAGTATTTGGCCTTTCACTCCTAATAGAAATACATGTTTGACATTGTCCATTTCAAATTAGGTTAAGAGGAGGTGACAGTCCTATATGATGCAGTGAAACTCAGATACTGTGATAAGGCTAAGCACAGTAAATAAGGCAGTTTGGAGTAAATATATTATTTCCAGAATTTCTGTTTCTGAATGACCCATTCTAGTCCTTGTGGATCCCAAACCTGTGGGTGAATGTGAAGATGATACTTCCTCTGTGCTTTTAAGCCCTGCCCATTGTACCTCCCTGAATGTGAGAATTCTGTCATCTATCATTCCTTGACGCTAGAAAAAGAGAGAGAGGAAATGAAAACAGTGATAATCTGTGGAATGTTTCTCCTCAAATGTTTTCAGCTTTCCCAGACTGCTCAATTCTATCATCTCAGCTGGACCCTTTCTGAAACATTATCCACACTGGAAGCTGCCAGCTGTGAAACCTGAAAACCAAATTGCTCTGATATCAACTGGAAAATGTAAAAATCCACCCCGTTTTATGATGTGTGAAAAATTCCTCAAAGGCGTAAAGCCCAAAGGGCAGTCAAGGCTTTGGCATCCTAAAGATCCAAACTCAGAACACTGTGGATAAAATACACTTCAGCAGCCCATCTTTGTTACACTGTCTTTCAGCAATTTCTCCCAACTTCCCTCTCACTCCATTGCTATCATTAAACATGGTCAGTCACTTGGTCCCACTACTTCTTTTGTTCCAGATAGGAGAAGACTTAGCACATGCATCCATTTTTTCTTTTTTTCACCCGAGTACAAGGAAAGAAGGAGAGAGAAGCTGCTTGCTTCACTTTGAAAAGAGGAAGAGTGGTGGGAGAGAGACACATAAAACATGCTTTTAGCTTCTTCCAGAGGAAGATAGCTCTCTGTTTCCCTCTCCAGTTATCTTCACTGTGACTTGAATTAAAAAATCAAAACTGTGTCTTGAATAACATGAGGACAAAGAAGAAAATGCTCCTCCTTACATGTCTCAGAAAGGTACTGGAAAGAGCTTTTGTACATCAGTTTGTACAAAATATCAGTTTGTTTTGTTTGTATAGTATTGGGTTTATGTGGAAAGGTTTTGGTAGCAGAGGGTCTGCAGAGGTGGCTTCTGTGAGAAGACATCAGGGGCTGCTCCCATGTCAAACAGAGCCACTGTCAGCTGGGTCCAAAAGGACCTGCTGCTGGCCAAAGCTGAGCAACAGTGGTGGTGCCTCTGTGATAGCATATTTAAGAAAGGGTAAAAAATGCTTTGTGGCAGCTGTGAGAGAGGAGTGAGAAAATGTGAGAGAAACAACTGTGCAGTCACCAAGGTCAGAGAAGAAGGAGAAGGAGGTGTTCCAGGCACCAGAGCAGATGTGGAGAAGACCATGGTGACGCAGGTTGTTCCGCTGCAGCCCATGGAGGACCACAGTGAAGCAGATATCCACCCTGCAGCCTGTGGAGGACCCCACGCTGGAGCAGGTGGATATGCCCTGAAGGGAGCAGCAGCCTGTGGAGAGCCCACACAAGAATAGGCACCTGACAGGAACTGCAGCCTGTAGAGAGGAGCCTAGGGTGTTCTGGTGGAGGAGGACTGTAGAACACGCAGGAGCAGGTGTTCTGGCAGGACCTGTGGCCCATGGGGGACCCATGCTGGAGCAGTACGATCCTGAAGGACTGCACACATAGAAGGGACCCATGCTGGAGCAGTTTTTCAAGAACTGCAGCTCATGGGAAGGACCCACATTGGAGAATTTCATGAAGGACTGTATCCCCCACTCTGGAGCAGGGGAAGAGCATGAGGAGGAAGGAGCAGCAGCGACAACGCATAATGAACTCACCGCAACCCCCCATTCTCCTTCCTCCCTGCGCCACTTAGTGGGCAGGAGGTAGAAGAGTCAGGAGTGAAGTTGAACCTGGGAAAAAGAAGGGGTGGGGGAAGGGTGTTTCTAGTTTTGTTCTATTTCTCACTATTCTGCTCTGTTATTAATTGGCAATAAATTAAATTAATTTCCCCAAGTCAAATCTGTTTTGCATGTGACAGTAATGGGTGAGTGATTTCCCCATCATTATCTTGACCTATGAGCTTTTCCATCATATTTTCTCCCCGTCCTGTGAGAAGGGGGGACGATAGAGCAGCTTGGTGGACACCTGGCAGCCAGCCAAGGTCCACCCACCACTGCAAAACAGGTAAGATGTATGCTTGTATCTTTTTTATTCAGTAGCATATCCTTACATGTATATCCTACAATGTGGACAACCATGAATATCTGATAGCCTTCACCTTTGCTGCCTTCCATCTAAGCCATCACTGATGTGTTAGGTAGCCCAAGAACAACTCATTTGTCAGCTTCCCTGTGGCTTTTGTCCAACAGAGGACAACTGGATTTGTCTGAAGTCTTTGGACGGGGGGAGAGAAATAGGATCTGACGTATTAGGCTGAGACCAAGACCTGGTGAATATGGAGTCACTTATCACCTGAAGCCTAAGCTCCTCATTGCAGGGCTAGTAGTCTGCAACACCTTTTATCTTTATCCCAAAACAGGTCAGGTGGGGTAGAACCGCTTGGAGCCCGAGAGACAGCTCATCTTAGCCTACCTTAGCACTGCATTTAACAGCACTCTTCTCTTCCCATTGCCTCTTATTAGAGGTCTGTCACCCTATTTCCGTGCAGAAATGGCAATGGGGAACAGAGGGTTTGCATGCATGTTGTATGCTCAGTAGGTCTTCAGTGCTGTCAGTGAGCCACATAATGCTGCTATTAGAGATAGTCACTAGTTGAAGAGTCCTTAGTTATAAAGCACGTTAAAGAAAAATGGCATGGAGCTATCCAATTTGGAAGAATGCTTGAACTCTGACATAATTTTCTCAGAATTTTTCATATTGCACATCCCCTTATTCTTCTTATAAGTCTATCAGTTAGCAAACCATTCAAGTGGAGGGTTCTTGGTGCAGTTGGGAGCTTAGCTAGTCATATTCTTACTTCTTTGTCTGGCTTAGATAGGTCTTATCTGACTGAGGAAAGCAAGGCAGCCTACACATTCATCTCATACCTTTGTATTCTTCTCTCTGGCACATTTGTTACAGCTACTTTCTGTCAGCTCCCTGTAAGCACATGACTTGTTGACCAGGCTTTGACATTTATAACAACAAAGAAAAAGCCCCCACTGGAAAGATGCCGTATGCATAGGCAAAAAATATAATTTTTAATAATACATATAAGAAAAGGTATTTAAGTTTTCTTTCATAGTTATTTCTCGTATTTGATTTTGTGTTTTAGGACCTAAGAGATCTTCTCTGGGATATCTGTGATAACAGAAGGGAAGAAGCAGAGCAGGAACGTACTGATATCATGAATGATGGCTGGTTACCAGATCATAGGGGCATTGCAATGAACCATTTCTTTTCACTTATGCAGGTATGGATCTACTACAGAGTCTGCAATGGAAGGGGACAATGAATTAGATTTGGAGGACTGTAAGCCTCAGAGAAATTTCTTATGGTTGGCTCCAAATAAGTGAGGGATTGAGAATTAGATAAGCAGATGTTCATGCCTCTTCTGAATTTATCTAGAAAGTTAAGAGACAAAAAGTAGGTGACATTCCATACGTTTGGCAGGCAGAAAAGGTTAAGAAAAATACCATTGTTATTGTCCAACCCTCCAAACTTTCAATATGTAGTGTATAGTGCTACTTTTTGCAGTTTTATCAGTCCAGTGAATCATCTGAGTTTTGTAACAGAAATGTTAGAGCTGTTTATCCTTCTGTGATCATATTAACATCTGCTCTTAGTTTAGAAATTACCTAATTCACTGCTGTTGTAGACCCACTTGCTGCTAAGGTTGTCCTTATTTCCCATATCACAAAATTATTTCAGCTGTAACTTCACAAATGTGGCTTGAAATTTTACTTACAGACTGAAAAAAAAAATTGCAAGGAATGTTTTTGAGAATATGATGTCATTTGTTGCTCTTGAGAAAATCCATTAAAATATAACCCAGCTTTCACATATCTAACTTCAAAGTTTTCAAGAGACCATCTTCAATTAGTTGGCTCTCCCCTCCCCTACATTAAGTCTTTCGTCTCATTCAGCCTGACCATTGATTACTTCAGTTCCTGAAGTAAAATAAGATTTCCCTGTGACTGCTGTTCTAGGTGCATAAATTTGGTTTTAGGGCTGGACTGGACTAGACTAGACTAGACTAGTCTAGACTAGACAGGCTTTTCTGTAAACTGAGTGACCATTCTGTGAAAGTTGTAGCAACTTTAAGGAAGAAAATGAAAACAATGCTTTAAACACATGCCATGTGATGCTAATCTGGCTGAAAAATCAGTCCTAAGCAGTTTAGGATGGGCTTCCTCCCTTTAATCCTCTGTGTTGTTTTTATATGTTTAAACATATAAAGGAACCACTCTCATCTCATATGAGTGTTGTGGTAAGTTAAGTTTGTGAAGTAGTCAGTTGCTGTAGTAAGGAAATTATTAGCTCTGTTTTCAAAGAGCCTAAATAATGCCCTAAGTAAAGACTTAAGGCCACTGATTAAAGAGAGAGGTCGAAGTATCAAATAACTGCTGAGTAACTGAACCGCATTCATCCTGTAATTAGGGTATTTATAGGACAGAATATTTAAAAAAATATATCTTGAATTAGATGCATAAGGGAGCCAAATTAAAGTAATATTGCTGAGCTTAAATCTTTTATTTTTCTCTTTTTATGTTCATGTATAACTTTACAATCCTAATTCTATTCTAGCAGAATTTCATGGACATGTATGATGCAGTCCAGAGGAGATTCACTATGAATCTAATTTAATCTGTCTTCTGTGGAAATGCAGAATAGCCATTTAAAATTACAAATACATGTATTAACCATATATAAGCTTTTATTTTCCTAAAAAAAAAAGCAAAGGAAACCATTTTTTCTTTCTTTACTTAGCATATACTCCCCAAAATAAACGAATTATTAATGCTAAAACTACAGAACTAAAAATACAATAATTATCTGTATGTTATGTCTTTGTTTGAGAAGCAGCCACAAATAGGCTTCTTTGGTCTTAAGCTATCCGTCTGTGGGTTCTTCTGTGGGAAGTCACATATATTCCCCAGGTGGCTCTGTTACTGTATAAACATAGATTTGTATAAATGCCGTTTATCAGATTTCTTTCCACCTTTCTGTGTACACATTGTTATACTAGAAGATATTTTCACCTTAACTTATGGATAAGTGCTGGTTTACACCACAAAGGTTTTATCCTTCGTTTTGTGAATGTGGTTTTGTGCATTTTCCCATGAATATTTAGTACTGTTTTGTCAGTTAGAAACTAACACCATACTGTATCAATAAATCAAAACATGACAGGTGTTAAATGTTTTTTGAATCTTACTTGATTTCTTCCAAGATGATTCACACAAAAAAAATCGTCAAGACACTTAGGTGTGTAAAGTCTGTTGATTTCTTCGGTCCAGAAAAAACTGTATGACTTTTCAAATTTTCTCCATCACTTTTTATTTTATGCTATTAAGGATTTTATTTCTTTTTAACAAAAAGATCCCTATAATTTGTTGGTACCAGTATACTTGCTACTATAGAAATACATATACATCAAAATATATTGTAATTAAATTTAATACATCAAACATTATTTACTGTAAATAATATTTCCTATTCTAACAACTAAGATTTTTTTTTAAACCTTAGAAATACCAGTGTGAAGACATTATAGACGCAAGTAGAGATATGTATTGAATAAACTATAAATTTTCAAACAAATATGGTTATGTTTATTGCTCTCCCTCAAACTCTTAAGATTTAGAATTGCCTCTGCTATCATGTATTTAAAAATGTAACAGAAATTTGTTTTGTCCTGTTTTGAGTTGCAATCTTTCTGTCCTTTCTTCTTGAGGTTGAAGTGGATCGTTTCCAAGATACAAAGAGACTTCTTCATGACTATTATAGGGCAATGGAAGGAAAAATCCCAACGGATGATGGTCAAGATTTTACTAGAATCCCATTGTTAAATATTATTGATGTAGAGCAGAAAGAAGATCAAAACAAATCAAGAAGGTAGAAATGCATTATTAAATTATACAAATACCAACAAATACAATCCACTGATAGCTTTGTAGGTGTATGTGGAAATATATGTGTGTATTTTTCAAAGGATGGGGAAATAAGAATTTTTAACTAGGGATTATAGTCAAATGATGAATCTTGAATCATCTTACAGGTTTAATTTATCCCTGATTTTCTACTGATTTACGTATATAATTTTCACTAATGTATCTCTGAATTATAAAACATTTTAAAAGCTGCCTTAGAAAGAAATCTGCTATAGAAATGTTTCCTACTTTCCTCTGTGTTGCTGACAGTTTCCAGCACAATCCTCACATAACCAAGTTAAATATTATTATGAAACATTAACAGGTTTAAAATTTGCACCAACAAACATAATTAAATGGGTTATGTAAAGACAAATATAAATCAAAGCCGCCTACAAAGATGCACAGAACTGAATGCCATATTAAAAGGTAAGGGATACCATCAAATAATTTCACAATATCAAAAATGCTGTCAATAATGACAGCTTTTTTAAATAGAATCGTAGAATCATAGAATAGTTTGGATTGGAAGGGATCTTTAAAGGTCATCTAGTCCAACCCCCCTGCCATGGGCAGGGACACCTTCAACTAGATCAGGTTGCTCTAAATAATTACAGTTCATTTAGAAACTATCTGAGTAATGAGTCTGTGCTTCTAGCCCATGTGGAATATATCAGCAGATCACGCAATCATTTGACGTAGTTTTATCCATCTATTATTATTCCTTAGCTTCTGTAATTAAACTAGACAGTTTTCTTGTCATCCACACGTTTCGCCACTTTTGGTCAGAAGGAAAGTTCATCCCTTTGCTGCTGCTGTGGCAAATTTTGAAAATAGCATTCTCATTTTCTTAGCATATTCTCCAATGTAGTTATAAATTAACACTTTTTATAAAGGGGCGTGTGAATTATGCCTTATATTTTATTTTTAAGGATTCCTCTAGTTTCTTGGAAACTGCCTTCACCAGAAATAAATATTACCAAGTCAAAAAGCAAGGTAACTCTACAGAAGAGTGCTAAGGATGAGAATTCGGAAAATGGAGTGGCCACTTTTGGGAAAGATGAAAATCTTATTACTGATACATGGCAAACAGCAGTAACAGCAGTATCAAATATGGTAAGAATGTTTTATTCACTTAAACATTTCTGGATCGGACAGTCAAAGCCTCCCGTTCAGTAGGCAGCCTAAACTCACAGCCTTCGCGCTGTGTATCTCAATTTCATGCCTCTTGATCCACCACTGATATTTCCATTGAATATGTTTGTGTTTCTGTGAGGAAAATATTGGAATCTGTGTATTATCAGTACCTCTGTATTTGTAACTGAACCTTTCATTGCATTACTGAGAGAAATATTTTGAATGTTGACTCTATGTATCTACTTCCCCCTTATCCCTCAATAGAAGCGTGAGAAGAGGCACAAGTATTATCCTGTGATGCAATGTTTGCTCAAACCTTTCACAACTTCAAAAGCTATGGTTACATTCTTTTTTATATATAGCTAAAAGTAAATTAGGTAGGTTTTTCAAATGGTTGGTTTCTAGGTTCGCTTTTTCTTTTCTCTTTGAACATTGTAAAATAAGTGAATTTCTGTACCCTTATAGTGTAGCTGTAGTCTTACTTTGCATACTATTGATTCTTACATTTCTCCCTTTTCCTGGAGTACAGGTAATGGGTTACAAGAATTAAACCCACTATCTCTCTGTCTTGCATTTTTGCTGTAGAATTTTATTTTTGATAAATAATCAAAACATAATAAATTTAATTAGTTCAAATATCTCCTTTGTTTTATTTATGTGTGTATATCTCAGTAAGTACTTTCAGCAAGTATAGGCTATTTAAAACAGTAGTTGCACAGTGTTGATTCTATGTACTTTACTATGTGTGACTATGGTGTAAAGGTAACAGCTGAAATACAGTCTAAAGAACTGGAGGAAGAAAAAGAACGTCAGCAGCTAGAACTGAAAGAAGATCTGAAATCTTCGAAGATACTATCAGGCAAAGCTACTGGGAAAGATGCCAAAGATGCCAAAAAGCTTTCTCCCAAATCAGCTACTAAAAAGAAAGGTATTTGAAATGCAGACTTTGTTTTAGCAGTGCTTGAAATTACTGAAATGTAAATATGTCAGTAATACAGAAAAGAATCAGCCAAGACATTTAATTTGGATTTAATTAGTCTTTTGAAATGTCAAATGTGACATATCAATGTGAAAAGCTGGTAGTGATAAAGGAGTGCAGAGGCTTTTGAATTGCAATTGCATTTATTTAATCATATGTGTTGTTGTTATTACTCTGTAGGAATAAATATTCTAAACAGAACCTAGAAAGTAAATATTAATTTTTCTCCATGTGCTGTTTTGGAATTGAATTGTTAGAACTAGTTTATCAAATTAAATAAAATTCCATTAAATTCTGCCTACTTTCCAGCCGTAAGTCAAAATATTTCAAATATTAAAATAAAAGTACTGGAATAGCATGGATAAATTATCCAATCCCCCAAGATATTTTGGAATTAATTTATCAGCCATCATTTTTATATATAACTGTAACATAGTGTAATAAAGAACATAAAATCTAATGGCATATGTAGTCCTAAAAAAGAGCAGACTCCATTGAGGTAGATCTTGCTCTTAGGCCTGGCAAGGATCTGTCCAACCAGGTGGGAGTACAAAATTTATTCGCCAAAGAGAAGCAGACCTAAACCCCCCTATTTCTTCAGCCTAGCAATTCAGGGAGTCTGCTGGAAGGAATCCTGGCATGCAATGCTGTTTATACATTTTTTCATAAATACTTCCTTGAGCAGGTAGTGGTTTAAGTGACTTCCACTTCTTTCTGCAAAATGTCATAGCTCCAGCAGGAAGCAAGGCTAGTAGCCTAAACCTTGTATCTTTTGTAAAGACATTCTACATAGCAAGAGAGGGGCTCAAGCCCTGCAGATGTGAGGGTAGCCTGAAATTCAGGCACTCCATTTCCAAGTGAAAAAGCTGTAACTACAGAGTTCATATGCATAAAGCGGCTGACTTTTTCTCTTTTACAGACATTTTATTTGCACTGTACTCAGTGGTCTCTCTCTGATTCTGCTCATAGTACAGTGAACAAGTGTAGCCCTGCAAATACTTAGCCACATGGATATCTAATTTGTGAGCCCTGGGGGGTCTTAGGTGTGTGGTTAGCCAAGAGAGTAGCAGATTTCCAGATCTCTAGAAAAGCTTTGTGATAAAAAATCAGCAGCTGTCACCTATTGTATGCTAAGTGGCTAGGTTGGGGTTTGTGGATTGCTTCTTGGAACTAAATTTTTGTTCAGACCTGGTACTAGATGACTTACCTGAAATCACAAAACTATAAAGTGACAGAACTGCAGTTAGAACTCAGCTGTGCATTCTCACTGTAAAAGATGAAGTATCAACTGATATACCTGTAACTGAAGTATCAACTTTGATTTCATGCCAAATACAGTATTACTGTAGTGCTCCTGTTACAGAAGAATTCGCTAGGATACAGCTATAGGCTAGTAACTGAGTGATAGAACTTATCACATGTGATTTTATCACTTCTAGATTTGACCTATTTTTTTTCCGTAACAGCTCCATCTGCTCTTCTTCTAGGACAAAACAGTTACAAATATTTTAATACTTTTGAGTAATAGTCAAAGTGTTGTGACTGCAGAATTTCATGCAATCTTTAAAAGCATGCTTTAAAACCACAATCTTACAATATCTGTTCATAGGTAGGTAAGTTAAAACAAGCTGCAAAAGCAGCTGACAGAATGGCTTGGAAAGGCATGAAATAACATATCTCTCTTTTTTTTTTCTGCTGACATACTATGATTTTTTAAAAATAGCATTATTGTTCTTTTCACTGCTATGATGGTAACCAATGATATTTACTAACATAGCATTTTTACTACAGTTTGCTAAACTTTAATTTCCTCCAGAAGGAACAGCTATCATTCAAAAGAGGTTTATTTATGGGCTGGTTGACCCTCTTAGGGTCAAAGAGGACATTTTGACCATCTGGGATCACAACAGAGGCACACCTACTCAGTCATGATTTTCCATTCAGAAATACATTTTAGGATGTTACTTAACCAATTTTAATACAGTTGCATATGCTGGCGTAATTTTATGCAGTGTTAATCTTAGCATGTCTTGCAAATGTAAATCACATTTGAAGAAATCTAAATATGTTATGTGGACATAAGACACCTGAGTAACCACCTTTGTATTCTCATAAATAGTCACATCAAGTAAGGTGGAAAATACCATTTTGGTTTAAAAAAATGTGCTGTCCTGTGGGTGCCTCTGTACAGATAGACAAACTTATCAGAAAAGTCCAAAGACTGTGAGAGGTCTGTTTTCCTGCAGTACCACCTTCTACCTCATCTGTGGTTGAAGTCAGTCCAGTTCCTATAACCCCAGAAGAATTAAAGAAACGAGAACTGACACTTAAAATAAAGGAAGAATATTTCAGTGCCTTGAAACATGAGGGTATGTTACTATTTGGTTACTTATATTGTGGGGTTATTGTTATTCCTAACTTAGGTAGTGTAATAGTTAAAACTAGCCAGACACTCCAGGGAAAATGGATGGATAAGTAAGAAAAAGGAGGAGAGAGGAAGGAGTGTTTGGAGAAATCAGGAATTTTTTTAGGATGGTAGTCATCAGTGATTTTGTGGTAAATATATTAAAATAGAAATGTGTTTTTCATTCTTCTTTTTGTTGTCTTCTGTTTCATTTCATTTAATTTCATTTTCCATGACTAAGAAAGTATTCATCGTGAGAGAATAAGTTTCACATAGGTATTCAATTGAATTGAATACAGTATTTGAAATGTTTTGATCTGGGAAAGGGATGGTAGTCATCAGTGATTTTGTGGTAAATATATTAAAATAGAAATGTGTTTTTCATTCTTCTTTTTGTTGTCTTCTGTTTCATTTCATTTAATTTCATTTTCCATGACTAAGAAAGTATTCATCGTGAGAGAATAAGTTTCACATAGGTATTCAATTGAATTGAATACAGTATTTGAAATGTTTTGATCTGGGAAAGATT